CAGTGACAACTTGTTGTCTTGTCACAACAGAAGAGAGACAAATAATTCAGAGTGGGTCTAACAACATAAACAATATATGAGGTTTGCATATAACAGCATAGAAACAGTGTTCTCATCTTGTTTCCTGTTTTCTTCTGAGGCATGATTTCATCAACATCATCATGCACAGGGTAATTCTGTTACTATGGTAAACAATTTATCTCTCTCAGTTTATTAATAGTCATTCCAAACAATTAAAAAATTGAATGTACAAATTTAGATTTATGCCTTTGGCAAAGGCAGACTGTTTTGCAGATTAGCGAATATAACCTTCCTACCCAGAAAACCTTGCTATCCAAGGCTTGTGTTATGTTCGCACAGATGTTCACAAATAAATTCAGTCTCTTGATTATTTTCAGATTAATGACATCCTGCTCTATTAGAGCATTGCCAAATCATCATTTTATTGCCAGTCTTGTAAGGTTTTGTTCTTTTTTTCTAAAGCTCCAACTCTAAAGGACATGCGATTAGCCAAAATCCCGTTTTCCTTTCTAAAGTCTCAAGCAAGCCTTGTTGCAAGTTTGACTCATGTTACCCCAGGAGTTAATCGTCACATTTTCTTAACCACTCTCAAGACTTCTAAGCATCTGACTCATGATTTCTAATGCCTACAGTTGGCAATAGTGTATATACATGACATGTGTCATACCATCCATCTGCTAGTAAACAAAATCTTTATGACATGTCCAATTAGTTACTACTCACCCTGTTTCTAATAAATGATTTTTTAAAATAATGTTCAAATCTCTGGAGCCAAAGAAGTTATATCATTGCAGTAGTCACTCACAGCAACAGAAAATAAATTCCTCATCAATCTGATTAAAAACAATTAGTAAAATCTACTTCCTACTCAATCATGCATGTGAAACCTAAAGAAAACTACTTCAAATTTTTTAACTCAGCAGCCTACAAAACAGAAGGTTGTAAGCCATGAAAACTCTTATACTAAATATCAACTATGCAAGCATTCGCTGAACTGCTGTCATTGAAATACAAACGTAAGAGGCAACTTGTGAAGGTTTATTTCATCTGAGGATTGTCTCATTGAGTGCTTACCAACGCCCCCAGCCCACCAGTGGAAGACCATGGGCACCTTCTGCATGGGCTGAAGGCACTTAGTGGAGAGCTGCAGGTTACCTTTGTCCTGCCACTGAGAACAACACCTTCACGAGGCCAGCCATGTGGCAGCAGATTTGTCACACACTGTATTTCTAAGAAGCTGCTGCAAAAAGAAGGCCAGAATGGCTCTTTGCTTATAACACGGGATGGTAGCATTTCTACATTCAAATTAAAATTGATGGCAAAATTTGACATTTTGATTACTCAAGCTGACATTTAATCAATTTTACACTTTAGAGAAAGGCCCTCATTTACAACGCTTGGCATCAAGTAACAGAGACAAATCAGAAAGCCACATTTAAAACTAAACGGCTCCCCCCCTAAATACATACAGTAGAACTAATTTCAGGCATATTTAAATTGTCCATTAATTCAACTAGATATTTACACAATTCGATTCACCTGACTCTTTCATTTCAGCTCTTCTTTCAAGTCTACAAATAAAAACCTAATTATATGTAACACAGATGTGATGATTGTACGTCAGAAGGAATTGGAGACATCTAAACATTTAACATGCAACTTGCTTAGTCTGAGTCAGAACCATTCTCCCCCTCTCCATGAACCTCATAAGCATAGTTTTGAAATTTTCTAGGCTACTAAAAATATATAAGCTAGGAAAGAAGGAAGTAAAGAACGAAAATACTTCAGACATATTTTTGTTTCAAGGACTTTAATAGCTTAATTATCATATTAGTAATTATTAATAGTTTATAATTAAAGACTAGAAAAATTTTAATAAACTGAACATCTGCTCGACATTAGATATTAGAAGCACAACCTGCACGCTACTGCTGTGATGGAGGCATCTGCTGTTCATTTTCCAGGATCTAAACCCATTTATCTCTACATTTCTTGCTATATAAACATACTTTGTTTTCTGGCATCACACTGAAATATCCCCATAAACATATTGTATGATTCAACACTTTAATACCTGGGTTGCTCTCCCCAGAAGTACATACAATGTCTTGTATCGATAAGAGAAAAAGCCCTTCTCAATCAAAGCTTTCTGCCATTTCTAGCAACAAAATGGCAGAGAAATGACTCCATTCCTTAGAAGGCATTTTTAAAGTTCTGTATTAGTGCTAGGATTTATCAATTTGCATCTGAGATTTGTTCATTCTCTTCAAAATGTTGCCCAGTTCACATGACAGGAGTAACCCCTCTCAGCTGACAGAAGGAACAATGTGCCCTTCACACTTTTTTTTTTAAAACAGACTTCTTTTCATCTTTGAGCACGAGTTTATAATACACTGATTTTATTCAGCTTGCTATAATCTTTAGCCTTAATGCAAAAAAGTCATCTGTTATATGAGTTAGAAGGGGGAAATACATAATGCATGCAATAGGGAGGATGCATTAAGTTAGATCTTAGTAAGCATCTACATCTGCTACTCAGTCATTGCTGATAACATTTTCCCGAGGCAATATATACTCCAAACTTTGATTTGGAAGTTGTGGTGTGTGAGGGGTGTTGTCATTGAAGTAAAAGCCATTAAAAATTGAGACAGAAACACTGCACTGTGTTTCTTCATCTGACTGTAGAAGTGTAGTACCTGTATTCACTAATTTCATACAGAAAAATGATGCAACTACACAAAAAGCTGAGAATCCCTCCAAATTCAATGTTTCATAAGCAAGTGAAAAAACTGACTATGTAAACACATCGAGGTTGTACCGATTACAGCCAAATGCACTGCAAATGTAACATGCCATCTAGAACTGTTGTTCCTGGGAACCTCATGACACTATCATGTATATACATAGAAAACTAAACAGGTAACTGGACTTGTTCATGCAATTGAATGCCATGACCTCATACCACAAAGATACTACAGTACACAGGACAAATATATATATATTTTATGCATTTGGCCTAAGTATGCTTTTGCTGCTGCTATTTGGCATTTTATCCTTGAATTTAGAGAGTAGACTCTGTGCGCTCTGAAGTGCACAAACTTGCTCTCCAGCTCTGTTCATAGGTCGAGAAGTTAAAAACAATCAAACATGTACCAGGCCAGAAGTTAAAACAAGACTCTCTGTCCAACAGTTGTCAGCATAGTGCTTTTCTACAGCTAGCTACCACAACAAAGGCTTGACTTGAGACTTGGCTTGGTTAAGGATAATACATGTTCCTTCCTTCCCCCTGTCTTGAAAAGCTTATTTCCACCCCAGTATACAAATTTCTGGGAGACATGCTTATGACTCCAGCAGGGAAAATCTATCATTTTCAAGAAATGAAGGATTTAATATATACATATACATCTTAACTCCAATAACAATCTCTCCAGTGTGTTTCCCAAATGTCTTGATAACACTTTTTATGATACAAACATGAAAAGCATTAACAGCTTTTTATTTCCAATCAGCTTTTTATTTCCTCTGACTACAAATATTCCTCTTGGTATAATTCAGAGCAAGGTCATCCTATACTACTGTTTGACAAGCTCCCACCAAACATTCCCGACGTAACAGCTGACAACACGTGATGTAAGCCCACATCAAGTGCCAAGGGAAACCCTAACATCTGCATAAGTTTGCTTTTAGAATTGGACATGGAATATACTTTAAATTAGCACTTGGTCTCTTCTGCATTGGTCATCTCAGCAGAAAAGGACCCTACATGAAAGCCTGAGCTTGAAAAACACAATAGCAAAACAAAAGGCAACATGGCAACTCTAGTTAGTGCACTTCAAAGAACAGTATGTTTTGGTTTTTTTAAGCATGATAGGTACAAAATCAAACCTAAAATCAAGAATAAAGCAGAAGAATATTAAAGTTATATTCTGTTAATTTATTCTTCTTTGGTAATCTTTACTGTCTATGTAAAGCACTTTACATAAGGGCAGTTTCACAGTCCTGTGGCCTACTGTCAAGTTACTCAGGCACCTTCATGCTGACAAAGTCAGAGCAGGTACTGAAATTAGTGGTGTAAGCACAGACCAAGCACCTCAGGTACACAAACAGCAGCACTCTTTCCACACCGCAACAACTGCATCATCTGCTTTTAAACTTGTGCTGCAAATCCTCCCCTCTGCCTTTTCCCAAGAATAGTCATATCCAAAACCTGACACCACACTCACTGTGGAAGCACTCCACTCCTGAAGGCAAGTGGAAGGATTTGCCTTCAGCACAGAGACTTACCAGTATAAGTATGCACTGTAATCACACTGGGATACTTCCCTTAAATACACAAACAAACTCCTCTTCCTTTGGAAGCAGAGCACACGTGACTTGTACAAACAGGGACGTTGGTGTAAACTATCACTGTCCGTTAACCTGCTTTCTCAGCTCAGCTCCTCCTCTGCAGAGGTTGTCTCTGAAGTCTGCTAGCAGACTTGTTCCCTGAAGGCCCCCTAGCCTGTTTCAGTCAGGTTTTCACATTCCTTCAGCTAACCCAAGCCATTTTGACTGAATCAGGTTAGAAAACATTGATATGAGTAGCTCTACAAAGAGTGACCAGGGAATAACAAACAGTTAAGTGCATCTTTCATCATCTCAGATGGACATGAATCCCATCAAATATCTGATCAGTCAAGGACATTCAAAGAGCTACAGATTCACACTGGAAGTATAACTACACTACTTAGGTTCCTCCAGCCACAAGAACCCTTGAACATTACATTTCAAGCAAATTTTGGGGCCCACACTAGGGTAAGTCTCTATGTATTTCAAGACTAGTAAGAACTATCCCTCTAACTCAATCTGGTTAAAGTTTCTCCAACTCTCTCCCACTCCTGCAGCTTAAGGATAAATAAATCAGGTATAAAACGACAAATGCTGTAAAGGAAGAGTGACAGTAGGGAAGGGGGATGTCAAAGATGTACATTACAAAGATGTAATTGAATATGTAAGCCTAATTTTTTTTAATTCAAATATATAGTGTCTGGGAAAGTTGTATCAATTAGAAGTGTCAAGAAGCACAAAAAAGGTGCAACTTCTGAGAAAAGTTTTTGGTTGTTAAAAGAGCAAGATAGTTTGTAACATTATATCCAACAGCAGCTCCAAGAGAATTTCATAACAAAGTTTTGTTCAGGTGAAGACTACACTAACTGGACCTTCAGAAGTTCCCCCCCCCCCACATCTTTTGAGCATCGCCACAAAGTATCAACAAGGCAATACCAACAGTATTCCCAACACCTACATGCAAAAATTGCCATTTTAATGGTTAAACACAGTCATACAATAAGGTTTAAATGCTGCTCATAACTTGCCTTGTATGCACGGGTACCAACAATTGAACAAAACCAGACCTGCCATATTATACACTAACATTCCTGCAATAGAAAGGATAGAGGATGAAGTTTCAGGCAGCATTCCTAGACTAAGCTCATGTCAGAGAGTCATTAGTGTTCTGTTGAATTGTCTTTTTAGAGAAACATGGTTTAAACCTAGAATGAAACATGTTGGCAAAGTGGATTTTGGCATACATCGATTCTGCTAGAGATTCAAAACTTCTCACTTGAGAATGAGGAAAACTTACAAATGTGGGGGCTTTTTGGTACAACAGAAATGCATTTAAAAAATAGTACTGCTAAACAGTAATCTTTAGAATTAACAATCACCAAATCTGCATGTGTCCATGCCAAGCATTGGTTTAATAACCATTGAGTTTAACAGACTCTTCATAGAAGTTTCTCTAAAAAGAAGAACCTTAACTGCTAAAATTAAGCTAATTCATATATTTTCAAAAGCACAGCAGTGCAATCTGAAAAGCAACAATGCATGTCAACAGCAGATTTCAGGTTTTCTTTGGCCTTAGACTAAGCTTGCCATTTACATTTGAAAGATGATTTCTCCATATTATTGGTTTCTGCAAATCTGTGAGGAAACTTGAGTTTTGCATTACAGACAGCATTCTAATAGAAGTTTTCTGAACCAAGGATTACAGAGTGATTAATGCAGTGGTCTGTAAGCCAGAGTCCTATTTTCTCCCTGTGCTTTTAAAATCTGTGTCTATCTCGACATAGCAGAGTGTTCTGAAGGCCAGCGTTCTAAGTCATGGATGAGGTTTTGATGACAAGAATTATGTTTCAATTAATTTCTACGGAATGTGTTGTCAGATTTCTAGGAACTCAGTTCTCACTGAATTGCTATTTCCAGAGTCAAAGTGTCTAAAACTGTCTAAAGAGACATCCTTCAAGTCTGCAGAAGAACACCCAATGATACAGAAAAGGCTTCTCTCCGTATGTTGTCAGTGCTCCCACTTCTCATTATTCGCACACTTAGCACCCTCAAAAATACTAATTAAGCAAAACCAAGATGTTTTAGACAGTGAAAATCACACATTTACACAGCAGCCACTGTGAACTTTATTAAGAAAAGAAGTTTGCCAGTTAAACTGCGATGACTTTATTGACTTCTCCACTTAGTTGTAGAAAAACAGTTCTTTCATAATGGTTCTGGAAATCATTTATTGCCAAGTAAATGCTGAATTCCCAGCAATGTATGGTCTGCTTGGAACTCTGGCAGTCTTACCATGAAAGGGCTATATTCACCTTTGCAAAATGCAAAGTAAGCAACACAGCTTTCGTTCAAGCAACAAAGTCATTCTTGAGGCAGATGCCATGCTAGCCAAATAGCAAAGCCACCTTTACATTAAGCAATCCTTTCTATCACGACAGTTCCACAAAATGAAGTGTAACTTGTGAGGAAAACAATTCATAAGACACCAGTTAAATGTTCTCTTTATGTAAACAGATGTTCTTTTTATGTGTAGTCAAGTCTTATTTCTCAGGCAGGAGAGGCTGAGCTAAAATGAAACAGCATGATGATCTATCTTCATGAAAATGTCCTGTTGCTAATGCCTCTGCTTTTGCCTCCTTTCCTCTTTATTAGTCCTGTGAAGTCCTATGCATTAGAAGTCAGAACAAGGCTTCTTCATTCATCTGGAATCAGATTTATATCCAATCCTCTAAGTGACTCACAATGCTGTCTACACACATTTCTGAAAAGTAGTTCTCCATTCCTAAGTAATCCAACCATCACAAAAGATATTTTCCAATTTCTTCAACTCTAGAAGTTGTTTTAATTCCTTTTTCATCTTCATCTTGTAGCCACGTAGCAGAATAGCATTGTCATGGTCTATGTATAGTAGGATTTAATCCTTATTAATAACTTCAGTAGATTGCCCGAGGATTTTTAGTACTGTAGTAGGCTTCACATGCAGCTACATAAGCAGATTCTGGGAAGAAATCATCATGGTATTCTGCTAAAAACCTGAGAAGAAAGCACACCAAAAAAAGGAACAGAACATGAAACATTTAAGAGAAATGTTATTTTCAAATTAATTTTTAAGCTCAGCAAAACCACAGCCTGGGAATTAAGAATTATTACACTTTGAAATTTGGCATACGAAAGACCTGCCCTATTTTTTACAAGTTTTACATAGTGAAAAACAGCCTTTCCCTATCAATTAAAAAAAATTCAAAAGCTGAAGCTACACTCAGAAAAAGAATCTCAAGAACTATCACAGAAGGAAAAAAGAAGTTAAAGAGATCTTTCTGCAACTGCTGTAAATTACCTGCTCAGCATACTATTTTCATTTGTGTCGAAACCAGTATTTTCAGTTATCATGTCAGTATCTTATACAAATGGCCAGGAACCATTAAGTCAAGCTGTATCTTTTAAGGTAAGTAAAGTTATGATTTCATGTTTCATGTGCCTGTGCATTTAGGGTCTCCATCTTTCAGGAGTATCTGATTTAAATATGGTTCTCAAAGACAAAACACATGCTTTGCAAATCCACTTCCTTCTTTTCCTATTTCTGCAAGATGGTCTTAAAGTATTATTCAAACAGTTAAGCACCCAATATTTTATGATGTCTTCCTGCTCTTCAAATACACAACTGTTTCCTTGCTTAGGACTGAAAATGAGAATAAACAGTGCTACTACTAACACTAGTAACAAACAGCTAGAATGACTATAAGCTTTCTGCTCTTTCCTTCGTAATCAAAGACACTGGGTATATAAGTGGGGGCCAAAGGGCAAAACAGTTCTTAAACTCAAGACTACAATCAAGCTGCGCTTCAGAAAAAAAAAAACGCAGACCTTCAAAAATACCTGGATATTAAAGATCAGCATCAATAAACATGGCAAACTGTTAGCTACAGGTTCTCTGAGCTAAGAGGAGGAAGCAATAGAAATGACAGGAAACAATGTCATTTGCAGGATCTGGATTTTCTCAAGAAACAGTGGCTAGGGTGATGACTTCACTATTGGAAGCCAGAAATATCAGTTTTGCAGAACCAATACTCTGGACACAGAAAGTCCAAACTAAAAAACAGTGTTTCTCCAACCTCACTCACTGCTACACTGCCTGAATTCTTTGATCTTAACAGAGCAAAAGTATCAAAGAATACTGGCAAGATTCTCTGTATAAACCAATTTAAATTTAATAAGGAGCATATTAATTGCTCAGAGCTCACATCAAATGGTGACAGCATAAAATTGCAGATAAGCAAAAAAAGGTTGATTTTTCCCACACACTTGTACTTAAACACGGGTATCAAACAAGTGCTAAACTGGAGGAATAACTAATTATATCCCACTAAGTCTAGAAAAAGCAGTGAGAAATACAAGCTTTTTCAGCTTGTATACAATCCTTCAGTGTGTCATCATTAATTCAGACTGCATGTTGTCAACTTCCTCCATACTCGCTTATTTCATAGGAGCTCTCTAATTAAGAGTATACAGGGGGGCCTAGAATGGTTTCCCACGTAAAATGTTTCAAACCACTACAAGAGTACTGAAATAAGGGCAATTTAGAAGCTAATAAAATACCTGAATCATCAACTGCTATGACCTCTGACTCGAGCTACCAATCATTTTCTGCAATACAAGGGGTTAGTGTGAACTGAGTGTGGTAAGGCCTAAGTAGTAACAGAGTTGCACCTAACATGCTTAGAAAACACAAGATTAAGATGAGCTACAAGTGGTATTTAATTAATAATTCTTCATTAACACAAGTTGATGACTCCAACTGATTACAGGGGCTGATGAAAATCTTAGTGTCTTTGGATAACATTCAGTAAAACAGAGTACTAAGAGCTGGATCATACTAGGGAACATGTTTTAAAAGAACACTAAAACAAAGGAACCTTCAGAGGGGGCATTGGTTAGCTGACAGTTCCAAGAATTCTAATGGCAAGTAATGGGAAACAAGCTCATTTTCTCTTACAAATTTCCTGACTTTTGCTTAAGATCAGTCATACGTGCCAGTTTGGTGCATACTGAAGTGACAGCTGGTAGACATGAGAAATGTTAACTGAGATGCTGTGCCACAGTTACAGCTCGAAAAGAAAAAAAAAAGGCAGGCAGAATGCACGCAGTCAAATGTACATCTCCCTGTTCTCCACGGAACAGTTGTGAAAAACAAAATACCCCAGAGCTAGTAAACAATTATTTCTGCAGAGAAGTGGGAGAAAACTGCCGAAATAAACACATGGTCAGCTTGTCCCAATCCCTTGTATATCTGCACACAAAGAGCAGGGCCCTTCTGAAGCTGTTTTCTATTCAAACTACATCACAGTGCAGAACGCTGGCACAGAAATATTAGGAGTCTCCTAAGACTCTTAGCTAGTGGATATTTCACTAATGCTTCGCTCTTGGACAAGCTAAAACAGCTCCAGGATCAACTACAATGGTACCTCTAAGTCATGAGCCAAGATTTAAAGACAGAGGGAGCTGTACTTAGCAGGCAGAGCAAATGTTCAGCTATAGATCAGAAAGCACATTGCTATTGAGTTACTCAGAAACTGTTTCATTACTTTTAACTCACAAAGCTGATCAATTCAGTCACCTGTTGCATTATTGCCTTTTTCACTTTTATGCTTTTTATAGAGCTCAAATGCATACATCTACATAGTTGATGTATGAAACTGCTTATGAGTAATCAAGTTCTGAGATGCACAGTCCACACTGATGCAAGACTGCACAATTTTTCATCATGAGCATCCTCAAAAAGAAAACTCATGCTTTACACTCATGCTTACAACATAGGAGTAACATGGTACAATGCAGCTATTTCCCTCCCTACCACAGCTAGAGGCAATACTTCTCAAAGGACTAGAGGGGATGGAGATGAGGGAAACAGATATGTGGGCAACTCAGCTTGAAGAATTCCTATGTTCTGATCTTCAAGCATGGGAGTCTGTAAGCAAGCTTACCTCAGGTGACTCCAAGCAATAGCCTCACAAATATACTACCACCTGACTTTGAGTTATACAGGCAGATCTAACAAAAGAGGCACAGAATTATCACTATCCACATTAGAAGGCCACTTGACACATGTCAGGAACATTTATCAACACAAGTCACTGAATTAATATGAGCTTTAACAGCGTCACCTTTTAACAAAAAGGGCCTTGTCTTGACAGCGTCAACACAACTTATTACCAGAACAGTCTCTGCATGAAAAAAAAATTTCTACTCAACATCAGCTACTATCACATGAATAAACTTCAGGGATAGTCCAAAAAGTGTGAAAATGACAATGAAAGGAAAACTTTAATTTTTAGAAAGACAACCTCAGTCATTAAGGTATAAGAACACAGAGTCCAAAGGAAAAGCTCCCAGGAAGGTGACATCTTAAACACTTCTGCTACAGAGTTTGAGAAGGTAAGCAGATGCTTTCAAGAGAACAGTGGCCTGAGAGAGGTGCTGTTTGAAAGGCAACTGTAATGATCTATCAAAAGGAATTTGCTAAGAGAGCATTATGTATCCTAACTCTACGAGTCACCTCATCAAAAGAAACGTCATTTGCAGAATAAGAGTTATCTCCCCAGTTTATAGGCCTATCTCCATCTGGAAGGCTGTTCAGAGCAAAAGATCCCCAACAAAAACTCCATCATAACACCACTGCCCTTGGTCTTTTAAGGGAGAGGGCAGAGAACTCTGAAGATGCCAAGCTGTCAACACAGCATTTCCAGTAATCAGGCTGAGTGATCATTAAAAGTGGTAACTTCTAGTACCACTTTTGGGAAAATAGCCCTACAAGAGCTCAATACGGGAGTCCTTGGTTTGTCTTGAGGATGAAGACTCACTTGTGGTAAGGCCAGCACAGATTCGCAGAGCTGCGTTCTAAAAAGCTACTGTAGCACATTTAAAGTATTTTGGGCAACCTCTCAATTTAGATGTGTGATCCAAACCTCAGCCACTGACCAGCAAACACTCATGATTTGATAAGCAGAAGGAAGAGAAGCAAACCACATGGTGAGTTTCAGCAAGTATTTTTGGTAAAGCAATCAAAGCTTATTGTTCTTTAGTCAAGAACAATAAGCACAGATGAGCATATTCTGCAGACCAAGCAAACAAAAGCCCTCTGAAAATAAGAACCTGTGTGATACCAGGTACTCACTGACTAAAAAGCATTCAACATCAAGGTTGAGAGGACCTAAAGTAGCCAAAAGTTTGAGAGGACCTAAAATGGCAATTACTTTTCTACCCATTCAATGAATATAGCAAAGCCCAAATAAATGATAGTAATGCCCTGAAATAAGGCACTGTGCAAACAGAATTACTTCAAAGTGTTTCAAAACTTTTAAAAGAATATTCCTTTATACGTCTGTGCCCTCTAAACCCACACGTCAATTTATACTCGAAAACTTGATTTTCTCAAATGTAAGCTCCAATTTCATAAAGTTCTCTAGTATATCATAACTGCTATGTTGCACAGATACTTTTTGCCAAATAACTGGTTAATCCCAAAAACTGAGAGGCCAAAAAAACCCTAACGTGTTCAATAATATGGATCAATTAATAATCAATATAACAAACACTGGTATAATTGCATTCTTTATGATCTATGAGAAAGTGATTTTTAGTTAGTTATCATCTTGCAACTTTATTAAGCCACAATGAATCACAATGAGCAGGAATTCTGTCACAAAGAAACTTGACCTAACTAAAGATGTTTTCTCTTCTATTCACCATGTGCAGTGCTTCATTTTTTCATTCTCAGACACTAATAACCTCTCATTAATTGTACATTAGCACAGACTAGTGGTGATAATTCACCACTGCACATATACAATTACTACACTCAAAATGTGCTGTCAAAACCAGAGTTCTGTTTCTCAAGGTTACTTGAAACAACTTGTCATCTTTCTATACATACATTTTATTATTACAGTTCTCTACTTTGGTCACAGTCTCATTTGGCTTCCTTCTCAGAAAGTGTTCAACAGTATCAAAATACTTTTCTACCCATGGAGCAGAGTGGCACAATAGGTACGAGCAGATTGTAAAGCATCAGCGAAAAAGAAAAGAGATCTAAGCTTACAGGAAATATTGAGTTTGAAATACCTGGGAGTATTTCAAAGCTCAAGACAAATTGCAAAACTAGAGACTATTAAGAAATTAGTTCTCCATAATGCGAAAGAATACATGTTGGCCTCATCTGAAAAATATGTATTAGAAGCAATATTTTAGAAATATTTCATCACTTATTCTTTTGCATTTCATGAAAGTCAAAATACCTGTCTTCCTGAAGTGCTGTACACTTAGCTTTGCCTTTTTTCCTACAATACAACCCTGAAATTATCTCAGTGAAGATGGGTCTTGCTATTGTAAAAACAGACATGCTGTGTCTAATGTCTCCTAATTTTTAAGTAGCTCCTGTTGGACAACAGTCCTGAGAAGTGACTTCTCTGATTCCAAAACAGTTTTCCAAGTCAAGGTTGTGTTCAAATCAATGGAAACAGCAAACCAGAAACTGGCACCTTCTTGCCTATCATTTCTCATCACTGAAGCAGCCTCTGGAGCCATGCTAGGCACCTCACAGTAAAGAGAAATCATAAAATACAGCCCATACAGCATTTTATTTTAAAAATAGCTGAAATATGGAACTAGTTAAAAGATAATACCTTCTCTACTCAAAAACTATTAACAGGCAGGAAGATTTAATCAGGAGTCCTTCACTATTGGAATACCAGTAAGCAAGCACCAGTTATTCTGTGAGCTTCCACTGCTTGCTCCTCAAGACAAAACTCAAACTGTAAGTGAAATTTGGTGAAACCACCTGGTGACTGTCATTAAAGTCTATTTCAGACTGCAAGTACTATGAATTATTTCCAAACTAAATAATTTAAGACTCAGAGTTTCGTACTTAATTTGAGAAATTGATTTTCTTTACATCTGCAAATTCTATACTTGAGAAATCAACTTTCATGTTCTCCATGAAGAAATTTTCATTATGCACACGTGTAGAAAGCTGCACTAAGCACAAAGGGTACAGCTTCTACTTAACAAGAAAGTCAAAAAGAGGCATTTCATACATTCCTCAAAAACATAGGTTGTCTGGGAAACTGAGAACAATCTTGTCTCGCAGCAGTTTGAGGGCATGACTGGAAAATATTATCCATGTAGCATCTCAAAGAAAATTTAATGCATCTATCAAGTACTAAGTAAACTCAATAAAACAAGCTTCCAGACAAAGTATTAAGTAATTCTCAGTTCCTCAGCCCACGTGACATTAATAGTATAAATGTTAAATGAAACTGTAAATTTTAGCCATAAAATTATAATTCAAAATTAAATCAGTATCTATGCAAGAACTAAATCAGTTGTCTACTACATGGAAGTTTTATTTAAAAATATATAAACTGCTTATGCTTGGACTACACTACCTAGACTTCAAAGAAGATTCAGAAGCAGTTTTATTAATGCAAACAGACACATCAATCCTTTGTCTGCTATTAGAAAAATAAAGAAATGGAGAGTACTTCAGCTTGTCACTCAAGAGCAATTCACTAAAAAAAAGTGGTCCACAAGTAAACTGGTTGCTATCATCTAATGTGTACAGATCTTACCCTTTGAAAAGTAAGCCAGAATAGAACTGATATAAAGTATTTATAATAAACATCCATTAATTCATTCCCAAAAAGGAAAAGACAGAATCTGAAAACTGAAGAACTAGTACAAGATGTCACCTCAACCTCAACTTTTCTCTTGTAATTAGAAATAGATAATGCAGAATTATTTCTGTGATAAAAATCAAGCATAAACAAGTTCCTAGAAAATATAATTGTTTGACCACTTTCAATGACACATGGGACAAAGAAATACATACCCAAATGAAAGACATGTTAAAGTACCATGAATATGTGTTGAGGAAAAAAAAATCTAATAATCTGCATGGTACCTGTGTTACCTATTTGACTACACAGCATAACTGATAAGGAAACTAGACTAAGAAGAGTATTTATGACAAAGTTATCAAAGACCAAATGCTGCCTACAGAAGTAACTGTAACTTGGAAGCTTTTTTGGCACTGTCAAAAAAGAAAGCACTTAAAAAAACTAAGAGCCTTCAAATATTTTGCTGTAGCAGATATGCTTGCCTTGAGGGGCCATTTTGGTTTAGTTGTAGCCTAGTCTTGGGGACTGAAGTACACTTAAGTGTTTTCTACAAGGAATGCAGCTTGTTTACTCTGAGCACTCCACATCCCAACACAAAGCCTGGTAAATGGGAACTACCAAAAGATTTGCTTCAAAAGCACAGTTGTATCTCACCTAAAAATGCCAACGTGATTTATTGCTATTTAGAGATGAATAAACATTTCAATGAGATGGTCAGATGGAAAAATAAGACAGACGCAGATACTACCACTAGAACTTTCAGTTTAGCCACCTCCCTACTTGTATAGGGAGTAGGGGACATGTTTCTCCTTTCCTCTATTCTATTCCAGTACAGCTCATCCATAGAATGGGTATGAAAACACTGCATTAAGGATGCTAAAAAGCAGAGACCTGCTGTGGTCAACACAGAAGAATCTGAACAGGCAAAGGTCTGATAAAAACTGATCTGATCCATAGTGAGTTAAGTTCCCTAAGAAATATTTGCTCCAAAAACAGGTTTCCAACAACGAGCTCTACTTTTGTCCTGTTTGACTTTAAGGTACTTTGAATGTCAACAAGGATCTGACAAAAGAGAGAGATGCAACACTTAACAACTAAATGTTTCCAGGGAAAAATTTTGTATTGTAGAAACTTTGACATTTGAGACATCTTATTTTCGATAAACAATTTAAGTAAAAGCATATTTAAGCTTTCATCTCTCTGATCTCTAATAGGACTTTTATTTATGCTAGAGTAATGTTATGTTACTTTTCCATATGTGGCTACTAAAGTCATTGACCAAAAATTAAGTTACAATTTCAACATTTGTTCCAAATGTTTAACATTTACAAAACTTTCCTGGTAATTTTATTTTCCACTGGATTGATGTTGCACAGCACAGTGCCACACTAGGTATCTATCACCTCACTGTCATGCACAGATACTAACTACAGCACCTGGTAGAAATAAAGCTGATCATGGTGCAGGTATGAGCTTACTGACTCCAGCTGTGGAGCTTGTGTGTTCAGATCATTTGACTATCTCTAAAAACCACTGCACTACATCACAGAGAAACCTTGCTGTTCAAAGCTCAATTCAGACAGATATTTCTTTTAAAAAATCGACCATAATTAAAAACATGTTTTAAAGCACAAGTTTTCTTCCCCTGCTTATGTCACTGAAAGTCAAAACTCTCAAGATTATGCTCTCAAAAAAATAACAATGTAGACTTTGAATTTCTTCATAAACATGGTTCTTAACCAAGACTTGTCATTCTATATGTAGTAACAAACTTTCCAACTTCAGTTCTCTGTCATTGTATTTCTCAAAACTTTAAGTAGGAAATTCAGGATCCCTTCAATTTGAGTCACAGAATAGAAAAATCTCATATTAATCTTAACTCAAGATGTTATTGTAAAAGTTTTATATTAATTTTATCATATTCTTGTAGTAATGGAAAATTAACATCTTATTTTAAACCCTCTTTGTCATTCCAGGACATGTCAATCTATGTAACAATGGAAACATTGCTTAGTATATTGTGTCACATTACCTCAGAAACATTTCGAAGTGTTTTACTAAAGCCTTTAGGTTTTTGTCAGGAAAGCACATCTTCCCCAATATTTCTGGTAGCTTTACTGTAAATAAAAGAAATAATGTTTACACCTGTTCTTGTAAAAGCAACTTTTAATTACTTTCATCCAGTATAAAGAAAAGAATATAAAAATTCCTTCTCCCCACAGACCCCACTTTTCCTTGCAAGCTACTCATTGATCTTTCAAAGCCTTACTAAATAGGAACATGCTGAGAAAGCGAATGCTGCTTGGTTTAATGACGTTTGATAGTGTACTGGAAGTAACACTGCTTTGCTTTTCTTAAATGAAGGCTTACAGAGCCAGTAAAAGATAACCAAATCTATGAATAGCCTAGGAGTTCTAAATAGATTAAAATGTACATTTAGCAAAGAATAAAATTTAATGTAATAAAGCAAACAGAAAAGTCACAAAGATATAAGCAACAGAAAAAAAAATAAAGCAACTTCGACTGAGCAGAGAGTTTTTCATCAGTTTACCAAACATCCGCAGCAAATGTTGAGATCCATAGATATATGAAGGAGGTGGCGGTTGATCACTTGGTGGATAATTTTCTGGCATCAATTTCCAGGACAAAACCTAAACATGAAACGTGAAGACATTGGTTATTAAATCTTTATAGCATCATAAATAATTTAGTCTACAGAACTTCAAATGCAAAGATAAGTAATACCAACAAAATCTTTTTTTGCATAGCCCTACTCTGAGGTCCACAAAAACCTTAATTATGGAATCTAGGGTAGTAACATTAAAATCTGTTACCTCATTCAGTTCATTGTTTCTTCTACCTTCAAAGCCAGTAAAAACCGTGCTCCCTTCTTTGCTAGGAGTCAAAGTTATTGGTGAAGACGACCCGCTATGGACAGGGGTTTCTTCAAAAAGAAAGAAAAAACAGAACAAATAAAATCAGAAATAAATTTTACTGCTTGTTTTGTGAAACTATAAGCCGTTAAACTCAACTAAGGTCTGCTGCAAAAACGTTTGAAGTCTTAAACACTGAAATTCAATAAAAGCTATCCTAAAATAGGTTTTCAGAAATGCAGCTCATTGAATACTGTGGAAAAATACAGTACCAGAGTACTGAGAATATTGCGTTATATTTCTCTCTTTGGTAATAATGCCTCAGAGATAAATAATTGACACAAAAAGTAATGAATTCCCACTTCAATCACACAACTCACAGTCCACACAGCACTAAAAAAAGAACAGAACTTTACACTTTGTTTAGACCAACAATTTGAAGAGCAAAAGCTACTTTTTTCCAGGTGCAAGAAGAGCTTAGGCATAGAAGCCGGGGTCTCGAGATGACGTCTCTTAGGCTGTGGGGAAGCGCTGCTTTCCGATAGCCTGTCGCAGTTGGAGCTGTGGCGAGTGGAACGTCTCAGCGACTGCAGGATTTCAGGCTCAGCTTTCCGCCTTTTCGGCGTGGCCGGCTCCCCTGTGGCGGGCTGGCTGTCAGTCGACTGAGGCGTGGGCGGATTCAGTAGAGGAGGACTTGGGGAAAGTTCCTCCTGATTCCTAGGAAATTAAGGCAGCTTTACAGAATTGAAGAGATGAGGGCTCCCCCCACAAAAGACATTCTTCCAGTTTCACACATCTTGTTAAACACTTATCCAGATGAGACAGTCTCCTCCCAATAACTATTAAAGTGATGAGGCCTTCTATTAAATACTATTTTCCAGAAGTATACTTGTTTTCAAATAAAAGTTAAAACCCACAAATACAACATTCTTCTACATTTTACTGAGGAGATGAGCAGTATTAAACTCCTTACATCCAACCTACCTGTTAGTATTTGTTGAGTTTTCTTTGATAGGAAGAAAGAACTTTGATGAGGTCACCTTCTTAAACTGAGCTTGTTCATAAGGATAGAGCAAAATTAATGGAAGTGTGAAGTCAAAGGTTATTCTCAGCCCATCCACCATCTCTTTGCATAACTCAACACTAGAGGGGAAAAAGAATATGAAAAGTTGCATGTCAAAAATTTTCAGCATAGTTGTACAAAACTGCCCTTTAATATGGACCATTAATATCATAACTACAATATGCTGATTTAATCACTAAGTAATTAAAAGCATACTTAAAAAGACAGTGATTATTCTCATTAACTTAGAGTTACAAATTTTTAAAAAGTCTGCTTCATAACCTCAAAAAAACGACACATTTTTCTGTTGTATTACTGGATTAATGAAATCTACTGTAGAGTAAACAAAGTTAGTCAGATGTTTTTCATGTAGCATTATTTTGTTTTTCCAAGTTTACTAGGCTGAAAACAGAGGCACAGAAAAAGGAAGTACTCAACAGACTGAATCTCTGTCTAAAAGGAATATGAAGAATTTGATCTATAGCTGCTAGGATGCAGTTAAGGCTGTGCTTAAGAGATATCCAGTGAACCAACAAAACCAGATAAATTTCCATTGGACATCAGCCTCCAATGGTCTGCTCCAGAAATCAAACACTACACTTAGAGGCTACTAGGAACTTCAGTTTTCGGCTTGTGCAAAAGACTCACAATGTTAGGTGGTGCTGTTACAGCAGAACAAAGAACACCAAGTGCAGCCCACCTGCACCGCCTCTCACCTCTATGAAGGTATTCCACTCTCATGTTTCAAGTGCATATATGTGTAGGGTGATAGAAATTTGATTCTGCCAAAATGACCCATGTTAGAAATTCCAAACCTATTACCATTTCATATCAGCTGCTAAAACTACTGCCTTTGTTTTTTTTAAATACTACAGTTAAATTGGGTTGGGGGACCATCATGTGCAGAAATTATACTAGATCCAATAAGGTCAATAACCTTCATTGTTAGAGTAGTAAGGGTAACATAATAAAACCATCAGTTGAACCTCTCCTACTTAATGGATCACTAAAACTATACACATTTGGAGAAGTTCCTTAAACATACACCTTTAAAAATTATAATGTGTGTACAAAAATTATAATGTGTGTACAACCTTCTGTTCATATTTCTGATATTTCTTCTAACTTTTTGTTTGGGAGATTATACTACAAAGAAAAAGTATTAATCTGTCAAAGAATGAATGACATCAACATAAACCTAGACACTCATATAGACCGAAGTATTTCAAGGAATAGTGTAATTACACACCACTGAAATAGAACATTGTAACACAAGTCAAGATCACTCCTAGATAAAATAAAAGACTGTAGACTTACATAAAGAAGCAGCCTCATCTAACACAAAGAGTCTTTAACATGAGAGAAAAAAACAACCAAACAAAAAACACCACACTGCAAATGTGGAGGGTTAATTTGTTTGTAGTATGGTAAAAGAATATAGAGCTCAGCTGAGAAAACAGAAACTAAGACACAATTAATTTTAACAAACAGGATTGGTGTTACTACCCACAGCTTCCCTACATATTGACTCTAGGATTTAAGATCATATGTCAACTGAAAAGAAAAAAAAAAACCAACCGGCACTTGGAGTTCTTTAGAAGTGTTTGTATTAATTCTTCATCCTTTATAAAACTTGAACCCCTTCAGTTTTATTTAAGCAGGACATTCTTGTATCAGATATGAAATTATTCACATTGACAACAGCAACACATTCTTCCAAACGAGTCACAATATTTACAAAAACTTACATGCTAAAACCGGATATTGATACTTTTGCATAATGACTTTTCAGAATATAGGGACTCTCACTGATAGTACAGCGTTACTGTACTACAGGTATCTGTCAAATACCTTAAGCCTTATAAACAGACATACATCATGGTATAAACTCACAGAAGTGAACAGCCATAAAACAGAACGCAAGGTCATTCTTCTTGTGACAATAGCACTGGACTAAATGTTACTTACTTCTTCTCTGGTGGCACATAATGAAGATTCATATTAGCATGTGGAGTCATTTGATGGTGCCGAGACCTTTCATTGGCTGAAAAAGCGGCATTAATAGCAAAATGTTTCACATATGACTCCAGGATGGTTATTATATTTGTCTGACAAGGAAGCTTCACTAGCTAAAAAGAAACAATAAATTAATGTCTTATAAAAACAATTAATAAGCATACCAAATTAAAACAGGAGCTTGTAATGTACCAACTAATTCAGTAAATGTCTAGTGAATGAAGCTATTTCAGGACTGAATAATTTCAACCCTTAAACTGCATTTTTGATCAATGCTTCATAAACATCTGGAGCAACAAAAAACATGGTCAGGTTAACAAGCTTGCTGCATTTCTAGCTTTAAAACCAATCTGCATTCTAAAATACAGTTGGGTACTGAAACACTACACTTAAATATGACAAGTCATTGTTTTAACTATAGAGAAGTCTGCTACATTATTGGTATTCTTCCTTATACTGTCTAAGCTCACCTTTACCACGAAATTAAAAAAACAGAACTTGTACACACAAAAACTACTTTTGATATCTTCCTCACCCTCCCATGAACATTCATTTCACAACTTTTATTTCATACCCTTTTTCTTCTGTTAATATAATAACAGTCTTCCTCAAGCTTCTTTTTCAAGACTTCAGGAATTTCTATGCTTATTGCTCTTTCTTCCATGTCCCTTTTTGTATGAGTGTCCTGTTCTTCTTTCTACAACAGATCAGTGCAAGAAACAATGTATTGTTTGTCCTCATGAATATTAGTGAAAAAAGAACTTCAGTAGTCAGGATGCAATATAACAATCCATTTTTCTCATACAAAAATAAAATTGTATTATTTATGGAATAAATATTTAAGTGGATAATAGTCTTACTGTAAGCTATTTAACAATACTGGTTTTGAAAGCATCTGCAAATTCATTTCTTAAAACTTTTTTTTTTTAAATTTAGCATTCTCTTAAGTATTAAACAAACAAATAAACAAACAAACAAACCCACAAAAAACTCCCACCAAAAACCCCAAAACCAAACCAAACCAGAAATCTGTTAGGTTTTGTTGCTTCGGATCACCCTCCCTGTACTACTTAGATTCCACACACCTTCAGAACAACTGTAGAAAAATAAATGTTTTTTCTTGAAGTCAGTCCTCTACATCTTAATTTAAGACCAGGGCTGACGTGTCTATGTCACAGTAAAACACACAAGGAACCTGCTGCTATTAGGAATTGTCCAACCTGCACAGATCAGTAAATTTTTACAGCACCCACAAAACTGGAAAATCTAGTCTCCTACATTTTCTCCACATAAGCCTTATGTGTAGGAAGAGGGGAAAAGAAACAAATTTGTGTTTTTAGATTAATATCAAATAACTCTACAAGATTATGACATACTGTATAATTTTTGAAATCTCAACAACAGTAGAGACCAGGAGTAAGAAAATTATGGTTTTAATTCCAACTAAATTACCACCTGTGGCCTATATTTCATCTAATTCAATTTTTCCAGATTTTCAAGTACAGATTTTTAAATTCTATTAACTTAGGGAGCTCATGAATATACCATTTCTGTCCTCTCGTCTATGTCACTTTCTTCACTTTTTATTTCTTCATCTGTTCCTTCATCACTGTCATCAGAAGAAGAACTACTTATAGCTGCATAAAAGAGATTTCACATATTTATCTCACGTTATTACATTGCAGAGGTTATGATCAAACAATTTCAGGCCCCAATGCAAAAAAAAAAAAAAAAGATGAATAATTCTAATTGAATTAAACACACAAGTATTATTTACAGCACGCTATAAACATCTTAAATATGTAAGATGAGTTTATAGGAAGTATTCTTGCATCCTCTCTAAAAACACTCACTTTTAAAAGCTCCCTACATTGCTGAACATGCAGGGATCTTCTCAATTTTCATTGGTCTTTAATTCTGAACAGGGAATTAACACATTAATCATTCAATCAAAAGGTCTGGATCTGTGCAGTGACAGTTTCCAGAAAATCAGTTAAGTGCCAGCCAGTGTTCCTGCTAGCTTTCTAGTTACAAAGAAAATTGCAGGAAATTAAAGATCTGTCTTGAAAGTGAAAATCAGCCAGTCAGCTGACAAGAAACAGACCTTTGTGCCAGGTAGACTAGGGAAAAATAATCTTACTGCCTCCTTCTTCATATAACTGCCTCTGTGTATTTCAGATAGGACCATGATACTCTTTCATCATCCTGATAGCAAGTTACAGCATGCACTGCTCCCCAGGTCAAGAAGTTAAAGGCATCCCACCAGTTACCAAAGGATGAAAATAAGCTCACAGTTTTCACTGCTCTCATCATTTTCTTCAGCAGGAAGGCTTTTTAACACAGAGTCAACACCAGGCAACCTGCAACGTCTCTTCTTTCTTCCCTTTCTTCTCCTACAGAACATAAAATTGTTCACTGAAATTTGGCTAATATTTAATTTGTTTACCCTAGCTAATTCAACTACATGCAAATGCACAGGAAACATGTTTCAGTTATTTTCATTAATTAATGCTGAAATAATTTGGGCAATGCTTATTTGAGAGTGGACACCTTAATATCTGCACAGTAGCTCATATTCCTGTTCTCAAGCAGATCCTCAAGCCCTGGCCAACCAATATTAGATTATTGCTTTTGGCTGAAAAACACTTCAAGTTTTCCCAAGTTATTTTGCAAGTACATTTCTTTGGGAAGATGTAGATCCAATATACAAGCATTTTGCACAATAGTTAAGAATAACGTAGTTATTAAGTGTTAGTCTTTTAGAGTGGTGCTTAAGAACAATACATAGATATCTACTTCAGTATGAGAAGAGTAGCTCTCTACAATGCACTGACCGTACTGAGTACATATCTACCATCTACAGCATGAGCTAAGGCCAAGCTCACTTGTAGACTTGTATCTTTTTGAATTTGAAAATTAATCTCTCATTTATTTTGAGGCCCAAAGGATTTCTTACATGCGAGCCACAGCCTTCCGAGCCAATTTACGCTGTAATCTGCGGTTTTCGTCTGTATCACGAAGAACATGATCTTCAGCTGCCCATCTATCCCAGCTAAGGATAAGTAGAAAGAAAATTAACAATGACTATGAACACATGCTATTCATGATTACTAATGAATTAATATACATTAAATCTACAAAGCACTCTTTTAATGTCATTAAGAAGCAACATCTGTATCACAAGGTTTGCGTTCTTCTGCATTCACGTGGCTTCAACTCTCATTGCTGTCTAAAACCTCTCGAGCTTTGACTTCACATGCAAGAGCGTTTGTAACACCAACACATGCTGTCGATCACAGTCAGATGCTGCACTCATGTATTGGCCTTGATAATCAAACAATCCAGGTCTAGATTTAACAAAGCATAAACTTTTATTAATGGAAACCTAGGAGACACAAGTATATGTCGCAGACAGATATCCCCTGAAGTTTAAACTCACGGCTATCAAACTGATTCACTGAAATTTATGGATACAGATCAATGTGTCAACATGAGCAAGTATACTAAAGGCATTTACAAAACCAAAAATACTCCTGAAAACAGCAGTCCTTTGATATTCAGTGCAATGCCTGTCTTTGCAGAATAAAACAGAAGAAATGGGAGAAGTGAAACAAGACATACAGGTTCTTACCTTCTGTTCCAACCGTTAAAGTGGATCAGATATTCTGGAATCTTTCTGCCTTTCTCATCTTTCCCAACAACAATATCAACAATCTGAAACAAACATTGAATAGTATGTATTAAAAAGCAAGAGAAAGTAACCCTTCCAGTATTTAGAGAGTTTATACACAACAAAGAAAATTAAATTAAACGGACTTATTTTGCCAGTTAACACTGACATGAGCAGAAGATATGGATTATACTAAACGGTCAGAAAAACTAGCCTTCTTGTTGAGTACTTTTAACACTGGAGGCTGCTCACCATCTTTGTCCTGTCCTCAAATATCCCATGCTTTCAAGACAGACAAAGAGCGATGTCAAACAATGGAGTAGCACAATATGGATATGCAGATTTGGGCTATTAATGTTTTCTCCTGTGTGCTGTCTCAAGCCCACAAAGCAGGAGAAAACACTTCTCTTTATATAAACCCCAGAATGCTGCCCTGTTGAATACCACAGAATCTCAGCCACAAAACATTAAAATGCTTTGTGGATATCTGAGCCTTTGTTTTCTTTCTCTTTCATGCATGGGCCAGTCTGAAAGAGCCTGCACCTCAGAAGGAAAAGATGGATCTAGTGGATCATTAAGAAAAGCATTGGTAATAGTAATAACAAAGGAATCGTGCAGCCTGCACTTGAGTAGCTCTCAGTAGATCATGTATCAGCAGTTAGGCTACAGTGATGTTTTAATTTAAAAACATGTGTGATGTTTAATTTGGGAGTCCAGAGTTTAAGAACTATTGATGGATTCAAGGACAGTTATGCTATTTAGGGTATTTGAAAGTGAGGAAGAAAAGGCACTACACAGTTTTGCACTCAGGATACCTCTGTGGATAGCAACTAAAGCTGCTGGGGTTGTCAGAACATGAGAATATGTGTACAAACAAAAGGGCAGCCCAAAATATTACAGGATGGTGGTGTTCCTAATCAAAAGTGCTTGAGAAACACAGACCTACACAACTAGTAAACTTCCAGCAAAAACTACTGATTTGGTCAAGAATTCAGTTGCAATACTTTCCTTTTCATCCCTTTCTGTAACAAACAAAACAGCCAAACAAAAAACCAACCAAACAAAAAAAACAAAACAAAACCCCTCTGTTTGCAAGTCGGGTATAGATGATTTAGGACTGCAAAATAATCCTGTATTTACATAAAGCTCTGTAATTACTATTACTACTCTTAAGGTCAGGCCTTACTGAATCCTGTATTTACATAAAGCTCTGTAATTACTATTACTACTCTTAAGGTCAGGCCTTACTGAATCAGTCACCTCCTACTCCAACACTTAGGATCCACCGCGCACTGCTTGCTATCCTATTTCCGTATACTCTCTGCATCAGCGGTACCACTTAAACCCTTCTGAAAGGCAGAAGGGCAGCAAGCGTGGGAAAGCATGAGGGAGAATAAATCTATCTACGCTACGCAACTGCGGGGATGAAAACCAGATTTCAGAATTACTTTGCAGGTGTTCAGCAGAGAACAGAAGGCGGGAAGCGCTTCCGACACTCCCAGAAATCCTGGGCGGCCCCGCTCTACCTGTCGCGACAGCCAGGCCCCGAGGGCCCGGGCCCCATCGCCTGTCACCCGCCTCTGCTCCCCAGCGCTCTGGGAAAGGCCCAGAGGCTCCTACACGGCTGCTACGCGCTCCCTCGCCCCCGGGGCTCCGTGTGCGGAGGGACAGAGCTGAGTCTCGCCAGGGGACGGGCCTGAGCCGCCCGCAGGGAGCGATGACGAGGGGAGAGGCCCGGCGGGGCTGGCACCGCCTCGCTTCGCCTCCCTGCCCCGTGCTGGCGGGCGGCCCCCGCCCCGCGACCTCTCCGCCTTCTCCCCCCTCCCCGGGCCAGCGCCCGTTTCCCGCAACAAGTGCTGCTGCTGCCGGAGCCGCCTCCGAATCCCCGGTCGGGCCCGCAGCCCTTTCCCTCCCGCGCCGCCTCCCGCCCGGGAGCGCGCGCAGCGCCCGGCGGGAGCGGTAACGGGAGAGCGGGAGCGGTAACGGGAGCAGGCGGGCCGCGCGCCGGCCCCGCCCCGCGCGCCCGGGGACGAGGGGGACGGGCCGGAGGGGGGACGGGGGCACGCGCGGCCGGTCACCTTGGCATCATAGAGCACTTTGGCTTTGGTGGGGTCGGGCTCGAAGCAGAGAACTCTCTCTCCCCGGTGGAACTTAAATTTCATTCCCCGCGAGGTCATTTGTTCATCATGGCGCAAAGGAGAAGAGCCCCGCCCGCTCCCGCGGGGAGGTGCTGCGGCCGGCGCGGCCCCGCCCCCGGCTCCTCCGGCAGGGGCGGGCGGCGCAGAGCCAGTCGAGGTGCTGTGCACTGGTACCCCAGCTCTCCTCGGTGGAGTGGTGCTCGGCCCCGGCCACGGCAGGGATGAGCTGTCCACCCGTGCCCACCCCGCTGGTTCCGCGAGGTGCGCGGCACGGGCGGCTGGGAGCGGGCGAGGGAGGGGCGGCGGCCGGGGGACGGGTCCCTCCGAGCGAGAGGGCGGCCGCCTGCCCTGGGCCGGGAGAGCCCGAGCAGGGGGAGGCGAGAACGCTCGGGCGCGGTTTTGCCGGCCGTGCTGGCGGGGCCCCAGTGCCCCCGGGGCAGCGCCTTGCGCTAGGCCTGTGCCCGCCTGCGGGACCGGATGCACCCCGAGGAAAACGGCTGTCCTCTCTGCTGCTGCTGCCCCTCACCAGACGTTCCCAGTCCTTACCCTGTTTCCCGTGTTCTCTGCTCAGCAAAGAACAGCCCCTACTCCCAAGTGGGCTATGCATATATTGTAACCTCCTGCAAGGTTTGTTTTCCTCTCCATTGTTCCTTCATTGTTCTTCAAGAAAATAAGCTCGAAATAAGTAGGCCGTTGCCTTAGAGTTTGATTTATCTTTCCAATGTTCAATTTGAGATTCCACGAGCGTGCAAGTAGTGGAAATAAAATCAATACACAGCTTTCTTGCCAGTGCACTGATGCCTGGAAGGGACTCAGCCAGAGGAACACTGCAGTTTCCCACAGGATGTTAGTTATTAGGTGCTTCCTCAGGCTGTTACAGTTTTGATGCCAGTTCTGCATTTCTGATTTACACAAGACCATGACAGAGCTGAGAGGCCTGGGCTTAGCCAGCCTGGCCAGTTAATTTGTGATTATTTAGCATTTTTGAAGTTGCCTTTCTATAAAAGCTGTTCAGGAGGTGGATTACTCTAAACAGAGAAAGGCAATCCTGCAATGGAGCATACAGTAGTCCAGTGCTAAGGGGAAGAGAACTTTAAATCGTCTTTTTTTTTCCAGTAACAAAACTGGAAACTGGCAGGAATGCCTTGGGAAAGAACAGGGAGCTGCTAGGGTATTACCAGATTTCTGAAGGTAAAAAGTGATACGGGGTGCCCAGAAAACAAGACTCTGAGAGGGTAGGTATCCTTGGGATAGGATGGACCAAGTACTCAATTTCTTTTGATTCAAAACTTACCTGTTTTTTATAGTGGGGGTAGTGGGAAAAATCTGCAAACTTGCTGCTAAGAGAGAGTGGAGTGAGAGAAGCCAATTGATGGAAAAGAGTGAGAGAAAATTAAGAAAGTGTTCTGACATTGTTCAGAGCCCGCTGCTGCTAAGGTTAACAAACAGGCTCCAAAAATGCATGGATTCAATGTCAATTGCAGAAAGTGTCACTGAAATTCTCTTCTTTTTTTTTTTTTAAGATAAAGCAAATGTTGTTGGACAGTTGTAGAATAAAGGTGCTTCCAAGGGACTACCATGCTTTTAAAAATGGGGGAAAACAACAACAACAAAACAAGGGAAGGAGAACCACCAACCTGTGCTTTGTGTCCCTGCCTCCAACCTGGTCTTAAGAGTACTCACACCACTTCTGCACTAACAGCCTTACATATTTCCACACTGCCTCCTAGATTCCCGTTTTATTTCCTCCCCACTGGTGTCCACTTGCAGACTCTGCTTCTTGTTCATCTTGTCTCAGCCTCTCCTACTTCACCCCAGCCCACTTTCACGGCTCCCACCCAAGCTACTCCTCAAGCCTTTTGACTCAAATTTCTTATTTGGGTTTCCTAACACATATACAGATCTCTGCCATAGGATTTGAGATCCAGTTGTTCCCTGCCTATCCTCTCCCAGTTCCCACACTCAGATAGGTGCACATGTGCATCTGTCCTTATCTCCCTGAGCCACCTGGCTGTAGATGATCCTTGCCAGATTTCCCACCAAAGCTCCTCCTCTAGCAGGACTTTTAAAAACCTGTATGTGGGCTGTGCTTAAATAAGATCCACCCAGAGGGAACCCAGAGAGGAGAAACTGCTGGTGTGTTTATGAAAAACTCGCCCTGGCATAGTGCTACGCAGGCAATGCCTTCCTCTAGATAAAATGCAGAATGTGGATTTTTCAAAGGTACTGTGTTCTTCATAGCAAGGGCTGCCGAATGGCTGTGAAAAACTAAAAAAAAAAAAAAAAAACTAAAAAAATAGGAAAATGGTGTCTGTGTGTGTGCATGTACGTACTGCCCATGTAATGCCCGTGATGAGTTGTGCCTCAGTTGTATGCACCAAGTGTGCTCCAAGGGGAAGTCACAGACAATGGAGCCGTATCTGGGGCAGTGTTTGGGATAAATGTCCCAAGTGAGATATACCAGCAGCAGGGCTTGTTGAATACTGCTGAATCAGGAGATGAGCTGACCTACCATGTATTTTGAGGACATTCCCAGGACACTACATTGCCTCCAGCAAATAAAAGAGCTTTTACAGCTCCTCTGGGAGACAGTGGCTTGGGAGAGGAGACCCCTGGCCTGCTGCCAAGCAACCCCTGGCAAAGCGCACCCAATGAGATCATGAGGGCTAATTCGGCAGAATGAGGAACTATTTCGACTGCCCGTCTCGCTGCAGGCTCAAAGCACACTCTGAGAAAGTTTTATTCAAGAACGGGTTTTATTTGCAACAACGCAACGCCCGCTGTTCGCAGACGGGGAGCAACATGGCGGCGGCTCGCAGGGCCCGCTGGGAGCTGTAGTCCTGCGGAGGGCTGGGGCCGCTCCCTCGCCCCGCAGGGAAGGGGGGGTCAGGGTCCTCCTCAGCGTCTCCCAAAGAGGAGGATTTCCTGCCTCGTCCCTTTCTGCACAGCGCTCTGGGGAACACCGAGGCTCAGGCTGTCCGGATAAGAGGGGTGCCAGCGTCGGCAGGCGGGCCAGTGCCTGCCCACCGTTCTGTGCAGAGCTTTTCCTGACCCCGTGCGTCAGGAAAAACAAACAACTGGTGTAACCCCAGTTTTACCCCCGTTTGCTGTTACCAGGCATCTAGTTATACACTTGCAGCCCAAAAAGAAAGGTGACAGCACTCTAAAGACATACCCAGTTACTCTGGCAAGATGTAATATGCATAGCTGGGTTGGTTGCCGTTGTTTGCCCCCTCCCTGATTTCCATTATTTTGCCTGGGATCGGTGTTAGGGTGGCAGGTGTGTATTTACCTGGGTCACCTGAGCTGGCCCCGTGCTCAGCCCGCACACGCTGGAGGGGAAAGCACGTCAGCTGAGGGCAGCAGAGACAAGTGGTGCTTCTAAGATCTCCAGTGTTATTATACTTATAAATCCTGGTGAAACTTCAACTTACACTTGAGAGAGTAAGAGACTTTAATTTATACTTAAGTAATCCATAATTTTTTTTATCCCTGCAATGAGTTTTTGTTTAAAATCTCTTCTTCATTCTTTCAGGACGGACAAGGCGAGCAGAAACTTTTCAGCATTCTGAGGGTATTTTGGCTTTAAGAGGCTCTCATCACATTGCCCAGATTGGAATCCCTTAAAACTGTATAACTTGGTTCCTAAACTTTTATTCAACAGCCATCTTCTGAATGTTCTCTTGTATGTTTTGTTTGTTAGGAAACAAAATTATTTGTTTTGGCGTTGATCAAGGCAAGATGATACATTATTTCTGGCAGAGTGATATTCTTCTTTTTTGCCCACTCATTTTTCACAAGTAGTTTTAGTATTAGGATCATGGAAATTTTCCCATTAATGTTATAGGACACTCAGAGGAAACAGGACATCTACAGTGAGCGGAGGAGGAGGCAGTTAAAATCCAAGCACAGCTCATGAGAAAGAAACAATAATTGTTCAAAGAATATTGTACTGCATAACAATCTTGCTGGATTGCAGCACAGAGAACACAACTTCCGTGTGTGTGGTTGCACATTTAATGAAGCAATAACCCAGTTGTTCTCTTTCTGAAGTTAATAAAAAAATAGCTTGAAAACCAACATAATGCTATCCTTGATTTTTTGAGGTGATCCTCAAAAAGCTCAAAGCTCCTTTAATAAGGAGAACATACTTCTTCAGTATCTCTGAACTATATATAGAGTTATATAGAAATACTAAACTGTTTGCTTAATTTTATTAAGGCAAACCTTGTTCATTTCAAATCTAAAGTTAGTCCCTAGTGTTTACACTCATTTCTGCTGTTTACATTGGCTTCATAAACCTTCAGTATAAACAGAGAAAAAGAAGTAAGAATGTTTCCCATGAAACAGTTCAAGAAAATCCTGACATCACTTAAATAAAGCATACTTTCTGCTTCAACATAATTAAATTGTGAGATCTTAAAAATAAAAACAAAGAGAAGAAAAAAACCCACCCCAATTTACTGTAAAGCTACAGACATCTCTGGGATAAAAAAGGGCTACATATGAGGAGATAATCATTACCTATGAAGGACATTCCTCCTGATGTTCTTGTTTGGGTGTCTCTTTCAAACTTTGGCGGTTTCAGCCAAAGCAATTGTTGTTCCTAGGGACAAAACTAACATTTATTCTGCACAAGGAAAAAAAATCAAAATAATCTTTGCTTAAGACCCTCAAGGATTTCAGCAGGCTGGTGGCCTTAGTGTCACAGATGTGCCTTCTGCCATCCCTGTGAAGGTAAAACCAGATTCTTGCAACTGGGCTACATTTTTAACACCAAATAAAAGAAGTCAAGGACTGCTTTTTGGCCAAGTGCCAAGACTTGGCCTGATCCACTTTACAAAGCAATTGCTTCCCTTCCATGAACCTAAGACACAATCATTAGTATGTTTGTGCTTTTTTGTTGGCTCCTTCTTTTCCTAAAAAGAAAAAAAAGAGGGTTATTGGACTGATGTTTTCATAGTATGAAGCTGAGAATATATATGCTATGCCTTGAAGGACCTGAGGACAGTCAGGTCAGAAAAAAAGGTGATGCTGGGCACAGAAAGGGGAAAACAGGGAGGCTGATGTGGCATTTGCCTGGTGTGTGCTGCCCGCCAGAATGGGCTGCACATGCACCATCTCCTGGTCTGGACTCTGTCTGGGACAGTGCCAGCTGACATGAGCCAAACTTTTTCCAGGACACACGCTTGCAGTTAAGCATAATGGGCAATTAGCAGCTTAAGCTCATTTCCAGGCCCTGTTTTTTTCTAGTACTGTAGTCATAGCTTTAGAGTACTTCAGGCAAAAAACATTATACTTCATTTGACCAGTAGAGATCTCTTTAATTTTAGAAGGTCTGAGGCCAGAGTTCCTTGAAGAAGCTCAAGAAGTTTCTGCTTCTGGCTGTTTTCTCTCTCACCACCACCAGCTGTCCTGGCACAGCTGTGTGCACAGCAAGGAGCCTGATCTGAGTATGGGTTGAGTCTTTATAGTTGTAGCAAAATCGAGCAGAAGTTTGGGCTGAAGTATGAATAACATATAGTAAGAAATAGTCTTAAAAAATAATCACGACTTAAATATCTCCATGTGTAGTTATTACAAAATACAAATTACATTTGACTTCAGTGGTTTTGCCTTGGTTCCTATCTTGTGAAGTAACAATAATACTTCAAGACAGCAGGGAACTAAAGCTAAAACTTTCACACCTTTCTGGTTTAAATGAACCATGAAGTAATCATGGAGTGTGAAGTGGTGCTGGCAGCAAGGCATGAAGCCTGCAGACATCCAGGCAGCAAGCTGCACAGTGCTTGGACCTTCAGTTGTATTTGCAGTTTTATATTCAGATTTGCCCTTTGGTAGCCCGAGACTCTTTGGAGACTCTGAACACACTTATTCTGAGAGAGGCTTGACCGTGGTAGCAGAGTGGGGTCAGTGAAGCTGCAGAAGTATTTGAGGGAGAAAAAAAGGATTAAGTATTCATAACCACAAGTAATTCAAAGGGTGTTCATTGAGGTTTTACAAATGCTCAACCCCATACATATTGAATAAATATAAAAAAATTAGACAAAATTTTGCTGGTTTCCTACAGGGTTATTTTATGTTGCTATGGAGGGCAAAAGTCATAAGAGGAGAGGTAGAAATAAGGTATATATACATACCACACATCATAGAACTTAATTGTCCGGAGTAGAAAACATACTCTGGGCATTAGGACTGTGCATAGTTTTCTTGGGAAAGAAATGGCTCTCTTGGAATGCAAACCGCCCTTATTCCTGGCCTTTGCACTGCAACATCGTAAATAATGCAGTCAGTTACTGCCCCAAAGTCAGGAGCTTGGAAAGGAAAAAGCAAATACAGCCACTATGGCTGCCTTGGTGCCCAGGGAAGTGCAGAGCGAGGCAGGGTGCGTAACAGGGCAATTCCAGTGGGGAGGGAACTGGGGCCATTGCAGGAGAGCTGGGTGGATGGGTGTTTTGAGGCTGAGCAGAAGCAGCTAGTGCCCGAGAGAGCAGAGGGCACTCCCTGCCCCCAGTCTGAGGGCAGAGGAAGCCATTTCCTGGGTATGTGGAGCATGGCCAGGCTGTGCACCAGCACATCCCTGGCTGTCGGAGAGGATCACCAACGGTGTGAGGAACACAGCCTTAGGAGTCAGCCTTTTCCATTCTGCAGTGCCCACAGCACAGAACAGTGTTTTTTGGTTTCTTCTTCCTTGGAAGGCCACTCCCTGGGTATTGATGCTTGTATTGCTCTAGAGCAGCTTCTTGTTGCAGGCAGTCCCTTGATGTGGTCTGCAGAAAACTCCTTGAGTTCAGGCAGCTGCACAGGCTGAGGTGAAATCCTTTACATGTAGGGGAGACCTTGGGATGCACACATGACTTTTGTTTTCTTCTTTAATGTAACCACTGTAACCCCAGCAGTCCTAGGCTTTTCCGCACCCGTTTTCTATTTCAACATTTTTTACTCTTTTTCCTCTTTCATTGTATCATTTGTTGTCTCCCACAACCATGTGGTTTTTCTGGGTTTTTTTCCTCACTCATCTCCCATTTTTGTGGGGTGGGGAGAGATGAACTGACACTTTGTTTTGTAAAGAAATGGGCTGATATCTCTACCTGGTGTGGAAGATCTGTGACAAAATTTGCATCTGCTTTTTCACCTAAGCCTTTTTTTCATTCCTGTTCAATTTTCTAAGTAGGAAGCTTGAGAGAACTTCCCTGAAGCTTTCTAGTAGTGCTCAGGAAAAACTTCCAAGAAAAGAAACTTCCGCCCTGCCCACGCCCCAGCTTCTCATCCTCTCTTGTAGCCTTCAGCTCCCCACACCTCCTGCTCACTTGGTTGGAGTTCACATTCCCATTAATATTCTTCGGATGTAGGAGGTTTTGCATGACTTGGAAAGGGAAGGGTGAGTACATGTGCAAGGTCAAGATTTTTCCTCATGTAGATGTAAGAGTGTGAACTGGCAATTAATGAAAGTAAATGGTGGTTGATAAAAAAACCTGACCCCGTGCCCTTACTCAAAGAGTCAGAAAAGTTGATGTTAAGTACAGGTAAGTGAATTGCACCTTCTCCTCTTTATCTTCGCAATTACCTTTTGCAAAGAAAGGCATGTCCTCATGCTGCCAAACATACTGCGTATCTTCAGCTGAAGTGCTGGTACAGTAAAGTCTTTCTTTTCATATGTCCATTCTTTTGCTAAGCTCTATTTTTCATGGTCATCTTATTCCAAAGTATAAAGAAGGGGAGAGACTTTTAAAAAAGAAATACCTGAGATAACAAGATACAGTGTGGTCTTTTATTCTGTAAGGTCACTCAGTCAACAGCTTATGTTCCTCCCTTTGCTTCTGTACCTGTACATTGAATAAGTCTGACAAAGCAAAGTTTAAGAAGTCAAAGTATAGACTGTCATTGAAATATGATTTAGCATTCTTGAAAGGTTTAGCAGTCTCTAGTGCAACAGGATGTGGATTATACCACTTGTGGAAGATCAGTGTTAAAAGTTACCAAGGTAACCTTTGGAAGATACAAATAACAATGCCTGCTATAATGAAGATATATTTCCTTGAAGCATTCTTGAAAGTTTCTCATCTGACATGACAAGAGCACTTCTGAATTATTTCTAAATGAACTGACATGGCAAAATCCATATGGGGGAGACTGTTTCTTAATATACTTTTTTCATTAATGGTGGAGATAGGGCCAATTTTAAAGTTTTAAATTTACATTTTCGTGTGTTTATAATCTGTCCAGTAGTTTGATATTTTTCATGCTTTATTGGGCCCCTGTGCTTTTAAGTGATTTTTTCTTTACGTAATTCACAAAAGTTTTTTAGGCATCTCCTGAGTTATTTAGACCTTGAGCATAAATTTCCGTAGTTAAAACATTTTTTGGATATGTATTTTATTTTCTTTCTTGCTTGGATAACTCCAAAATGACTTTAGCTTGAAACCTGGTGTGTAGTTACTTTGGAACAGAATGTCATTTTTTTGAGTGCTCAGAAGAAAATTCTCTCTGAAACAGTGAAGCCCTCCATGCTCTTCCTTGCAGAACATGTATTTGCAATGGAGCCCCTTAGTTTAGAGTGGCAGTCCAGGCTTCATGGTAAATAACCATGAATGGCCCTTGCTATTCTCAGAGTGAGTGTCTGACTGATAGCTTTTGGAAAAATAAGTATAGGAAAGGGTGCAATACTGGGAACAGTTGTGTGTCTTCTCACATTTTCTTCCTCTCTTCCCAAGCTGAGACAAATTCTTGAAGTCAGACAATAGACCTGTCTACAATTATAAAATTAAGGATATTTGGCATGAGATAGAGGTCAGAGGTGGGCTTATGAGTCAAGGACTAAGCGTGGTGAGCAGCAGATGGTGTGGGAAAGAATTTGTGGAGCCACAACTGATCTCTGTGAATTATGCATTTGTGGCATGAAATCCCATCCTCTCAGTCCTTCCTTTGCTTTCAGGCTCTGAGTGATTTGGAAACCAGTTCAGAAATATAGCGTAGAAGTTCTCCATCCCTTCTACCCACTCAATCCATCCTAATTAATATGTAAGGAAGGCTACGCAAACCAGTCTGAAAATGGGAATGGAAAAATAGAGCTTTTGTTT